AGCAGCAACTGCACAGGCACCTTGGGGCAGACAGCGGGGCAGCACAGCCTGCCCCGAGGTGTCCATGCAGTCACTACCGGCATCGAGGTGATGCCGGAGCTATGGAGCCTGGCGCAGCTGTTTGCAGCCAGCCCGCTGCTTGGTGCAGCTGCCCAGAGCCCAGGCTGGCTGCAAACACCTGCATCGGGCTCCGGAACCCAGTCACCAGCTCCGTGCCGGCAGCAGGGAAGAGACCAGGGATGCACTGCCTCAGGCCCCACCCCCACCACCTGCTCCAACATGTGGGTGCATGTGCCGGTAGGGAGCTAATGCCGAAGCCTGGTACAGCTGTTTGGAGCCTCCTGGCTGCAGTTGTCTCCTGCTCTGGGTAGCTGCTGCCAGCTGGGAGGCCCAGGCTGCTTTCAGCAGCCAGCTAGGATGCTGCAAGCCCTGCTGGGAGCAGCCCGGGCTCTGTCACTGACAGCAGCTACCCAGAGCCAGGGCTGGCTGTGGCATGCAGAGCAAAACAGCCTCGCGTGCCATGCTCAGCACGCGTGCCACGGGTTGCCGACCCCTGCCCTACAGGAACCATCTGCAATATTGACACGCCACTTTATTTTGTTGCCTTTTTCTCTGCCGAGAACAGGGTTTAAGATTACGACTAACTTTGGCAATAATTATAGAAGTGTGAGTCCTTGTTTTTGAACTACTGACCTAAAGGTAGGCAATTAAAATACTAACCTTATTTAAAAAAAAAAAAGTGTGTGAAAAAATAATCCAGAAAAGACTCAAGAGAATGAAACAGACTGTTTGTTAAAGCAGAAGCAAATTTATCCTTTAAAATTCAGCAGTAGCCTAAAACTAAAGCCTTTTCCAATGTGAAGGCATGGAGGTCACTGATAAGATATAAATGCAACTTACAATAAACAGATTTTTGGTTGGCCCATCATGTTGTGAAATGTTCCTGATCATTTTCATCAGCAGTGGATCCTTGAACTTCAGAGCCCTCTTCATTAACATCTTCAATCCATTTCCTGAAATGGAACAGTGCATGTCAAATCTCCCAGATCAAATTAAAACTAAGATTGGGGATTTTAATGGGACAACAACAAACAATTAACAATGATTAAACAGCAAAAATAAATAACCCACAAAAAGTGGAAAATATTTTTTTGGTCCAGGTCTTAATTAAAAGGGACAAGCTTCACCTGCATGAGCTCCAAGAGAGCATAAGACAGATGCATAATAGCCAATTTTAAGAGATATTTGGACCTGTCAACACAGAAAGCTAGATAAACAGCCAAATCCTTCAGTTATCAACCCTAAGGCTGAAAGAAGAATTCAATAACCGTAGACTCCATTCTTGCCCAATTACCACATTTTCATGTACATGCCCCAAACCTTACCTATGCCTCTTCATCCTCATATTGGGGAAGAGGAAACATATACGTTAATACATTTCTTGCAGTGGTATTTATAGACAAACACTTGTAACCATGCTGCTCAAGAGAACCTAACAGGCACAATCTGCTCTTAGGCTCCCAGCAGGCGTTACCAATAAGATGTTATTAACCTGTTAATTGCATCATAAATAATAAGCCAGCTACATGTTCAAGGAATGAATGGTGCAACAAAATGGGAAGTCCACCACAAAAAAAAGTGCCACAAAAGATACTGCATTTACCTGAATACAAGACAACCCTCCAATTATTAGATTCTATACATGGAAAATACATAAACTTCCAGGTATAGAATCCAAGTACTAGAGGGTTGTTTTGAAGCACCTTCCCCCCTCACCCCCCCAACTGCTACAGCAAGGAAAGCAGTAGTGGGGGGGGGTTCAGATAGCCCCCTTGCTCTGTGCCCTGCCCACTTCTTCCCTCTGCAGCCTTCCTGCCCCCCCCACCCCTGCCACATGCATCCC